GTTTCCAAATTTTCCTCCTTTGAAAGTTATTAAAATAAGTTTGAATGTGTATTTTTAAACAACGGGAGTGTCAAAAATAGGGTCTACTGTGTTAGACAAAATTACATTATTGTATATGCTGCATTGAATGGAACCTTTGTATTATAATTATCATAGAGAAGCATAGTTCGCATCATATTATGGCAATTTATCCTCAGTGAAAACCTTCCAGAGTCCTTTTATTTTGGAATATCCTATAAACAATCAAACCACCAGAACATGATTGTACAACAGTAAAATGTTCTCTTGCATTAAACCAAAGATATCTGTTTAATAAAAAAAAGAAAGAAAAGAAAAGAAAACATAGGAAAGGTACTTAGAGCTGTTACTTTCTAAGTACACAACATCCTAGACAATTCAAAGTATCTTAATCTCCATCAAGAACAACAAAAAAATAATTTTTGTCATGCTGTTAAATCCATCATTATGGATAAAACTGGTGCAAATTGGTCAAACGGATCCAACAAACACTGATGTCCAAGCTGGCATATTGGCAACTAATACGTAACTGGTGGTCAATAGAGAGTTTAAAAGATCTTCCCTTTCTTCTTGTTCTTTTCCAAGGTTCTCGAAGAGTTCTGTTGTTCTAAAATACATTGCTGAGCTTCCCAGTTTGCTTTCCCATCCTCAAACTGACGACGTTTTTCCTCTAATTCTTTGTGCTGTGCTTCCAAATTCTTTATCATTTGCTCATGGCACTGCTGGAGCTCTGCTTCAGAGTCCTTCAGTTTTTGAACTTTTTCTTTGACCTTCATCTCAAACACCTGCTCCATCTCCATCTCCTTCATCTTAGCTCCATGCTCGCTCCTTTCTTCCTCCATTTGTGCCAGAGGGCTCTTAGTAAGCTGCCCTTTATGCTTGTGGTTACCAACTCCATTATAAGTCACAGCTGCCAGTTTTCTGCTTCTGTAGTTCTCATAGTGCACATTATTGGTAACATCTTTCAAGTCCTGCATGTGTGTTCTTATCAACATATTTCTTAGAATTGTAAAATCACAATGCTCACCATTTTCAACTTCAGCAACACCCCGAGGATACTGCCTTCCTTTGACCCTTTTGCCATTAATTTCAATGATAGTATTACTACCTACCATAGCAAGAGGTAAACGGTCCTTTATCTTTTTAACAAGCTTATTTTCTTCTTCATCATCTGTTTCTGGAAATTCATATGTTTTAATTTTATGTTCTTGGATTTCTTTCGTTATCTGTTTTTTAAACTGTTGGCTTTCCTCCGGTGTGAGCATGTCTGCTTTGGCAATAAATGGGATGATAGTCACTTTTCCATGCAAACGCTTCATAAACTCAATATTCAATGGTTTAAGTCCATGTCCTGAAGAAGCAATGAAGTATAAACAACACCTTACCCTGCTGTCAGGCATCTGACGTCTGTTCACTCTCGATTCCGCATTTAGGTAGTCCTCAAATTTACTATCAATGTAGTTGATAACAGGCTGTCAGCAATTACTATTATCCACTGCATCTCCAAATCCTGGGGTATCAACTATTGTGAGCAGCAACTGAATACCACCCTCTTTGATTAAAACTTTGGATTGTTCCACCTGTACAGTCTTTTTTATTCTATGGGAAGGACCTGGATACTCTGGAGAGAATGCAAATCTGTGAGGAATAATGAGTTGATTAATGTTGATTTTCCCAGTCCAGATTCACCTACTACCATAAGTGTGAATTCAAACCCTCTCTTCACCGATTTTCTGTGTACTTGATTTGGGAGATTGGCAAATCCCACATAGCCTTCAAGGTTCTTCTGTTTAGCTACCATGGTGCTGCTGTTGACGCTCCTCTCCTCAGCAGCAGCGGATCTTGCACTGAGAGGTAGATTTTTTTATAGGTGCCCTTTATTACACTGAACAAGTTCATTTCTATTTATAATTTGTTGTAAGTTTTTATTGTGAATGACTGTTAAATTTTGTCGAATTATTTCTGCATCGTTGGGCTGGTCGATTAGCTCAGTTGGTTAGAGCACAGCCTTGTAACGCCAAGGTCATGGGTCCGGATCCCTGCACTGGCCAGCTGCTAAAAAATATAAAAACTAAATAAATAATACATTTCTGCATTTTTTTAAATGATCATATTTTTTTTTCTTCTTTTTTTTTTCCTGTTAATGTGGTGAATTACATTGATTGATTTTCAACTTGTAAATCAGCCTTGCATTCCTATGATAACCCCACTTGATCACAATCTATTATCCTTTTTATAAGCTGCTGGGTTTTTGGTAAAGATTTTTACTTTTATGACCATAAGGATTACTGTTCTGTAGCTTTCTTTTCTTGCATGGTTTTGGGGGGGGTATCAGTGTAATGCTGGCCTCATTAAATGAGTTAGGAATGTTTCCTCCTCCTTTGTTTTCTGAAAGAGTTTGGGTAGGATTGACATTATTTCTTCCTTAAATATTTGATAGAATTTACCTGTAAAATTCTCAGGCTCTGTAGTTTTCCTTATGAGAAAGTTTTAAATTATGAATTCAATTTTTAAATAGATATAGGGTTAGTCAGAGTTTCAATTTCTTTTTGTTTCCATTTTGGACATTTTCTTTTCAAGGGATTTGTCCATTTTATCTAAATTATCATAAATATAGGCATAAAGTTATTTATAAAATTCTCTAGTTATCCACTTACTATTATTTTAATGTTGGTAGGGCTTGTATTAATTTCCTGTCTTTCACTCATTTTTTTCATATTGCTAATTTATGCTTCTTCCTTTTTTTTTTTCAGTCTTGGTAGAAGCTTACCAATTTTAATTATTTCAGTGAACCAGCTTTGGGTTTTATTGGATTTTCTCTATTGCTTTTCAGTTTTATATGTCATGGTGTTCCACTCTTATCTTTATTATTCTTTTCCTTCTTACTTTGGGTTTATTTTGTTCTTTTTCTATCTTCTTAAGATGGGAGCCTTGGTCATTGATTTTAAACTTTTTGTATTTTTCATATAAGCATTTAAAGCCATAAAATCTTTTAAGTAATACATTTACTTAGAGGTACATTTTAACATCTCTGAAATCAGGATGCATCTTACAGTTATAATTCTCACCATTTTTCTTTCTTATTGATGCATACAGTAATGATGCATCTTACAGTCACCAGTGTCCTGGGTTCAATGAAATGTATTATTATACAATTTGTTGGAAATTTGCTTATCTAATAATTGCTAAGTAAAGATCCTGACATAATGGTGCCTGTTGAGTCATGGCTGCTTTCTCCTTGCCGTGCCACCATTGTTTATACTTTGCTTATAGCATTAGTATCGGTCTTTTATCTTTTTATACATTATCCTTAAAACTGAGGGCTTCCTTGAGAGCTATCCTAAGATCCTCCAAAGTATCTGGTACAATGCTCTGCATACAGGGTATACAGTGCCTATGGGTTAAATAAGGTAAAGGATGATAAAGACCTAACTGCAGAGTATAGCATTAAAAGTGGCTTTGAAATGAATCCCTCTGAGCCCATAATTAATGTGAACATCAAAAAATTGCTGGCATGTATATGTTGTTGGATATCTCTGACCTTCAGTGAACTAGCAGTGCAGAGCAATGCACTCTTCCACTTAAGCCAGACCTCTTTTTAATTCTTCTTTGATTTTTTTCCTATCAAATGGTATATTTTTTTGTTTGTTTGACTATGTCTATGATTGCCTTTGAGTATGTTTCCTACACTACTGCACACACCCCTCCATTTATCTCTTTCCTTATTTATCTTGTCTAATGTGTGTCCTTTAGAAACATTATCTTTGGGTTTTTATTTTCTTTAACTGAATGAGCATAAAAAGGATTTCTTTTAATCTCTTTACCTCCTATAATCTTTGTTGTTTTCACATTCTTAGAGGACTCCCTGGCAAGGCAACATTATTGTCTGAATTCTACAAGGCTTTAATCTTTATACAGTCTACTCCTGCTCCTCCAGGTTTAGCATTTCAGCAGAGGAAGATTTTTTTACTGTTCATTTTTGTTTGGTTGGTTTTCCTCATTACAGTGGAGTTACATCACATACAGATGTAGCTCAGACACTGAATTTAGAGCCCAAACCCAGGGGAAAAGCTGACTCACTATGCTCTTAGCTGCCTTGTGGCAGTACTAAAGGAAAAGAGTCTGGGGGCCTATTTTTGCACTGGAAAAATTTCATATATTAGCATACCTTCCTTCTTCCCTCCTCAAAAAGCTCCAGGGTCCTATGGATGCTGCTCCTTGGTACAGGATGTCAGCGTGTACAGGTATCCATTAGAATGCTTTTGAATTGGGGAAACAATGCTCACCTAAAGGCTTAAACACTAAGGATTTATTTGTCTCATTTAATGAGAAATCCAAAGTTAGGCAATCCTAGGGTTGGTGGAGTGAGCTAGTGATTTCTGGGTTCTGGTCTTCCCCTTAGAATTTCAACATGGCTGCACTTCTCTAAGTATCATGCCCCTGTATAACATCTATCCTAAAGCCAGAAGTGGCGCAGAGCTTCCTTTGTGTGTGTGTGTGTGTGTGTGTGTGTCTGTCTGTCTGTCTTTTATCAAGGAGGAAAGACTTTCCCATTAATCCCATGTACCTCCTCACAAATCTCATTGTCCGAGATTGTGTCCCATGGTGCTTTAGCTGCACAGGAGTCTGGGAAAGCAGGTGTTTAGAATATTTAGACTTTATGGCGGGAGATAGGCTCTGACAGCATGGAAGGAGAGATGAAAGATGGCTGTTTGGTGAGTTAACCAACAGTATCTGCTTGTGAGTATATGTGTGCGTATGTGGGGGAGAGAGAGAGAGAGAATGAAATTGACTATTTTGTGTGGATAAAGGCTCTTTTTCCCATACGAAATTGTACTTGGATGCATAGCAGAACTTTGTATGACTCACCAAAGTGGAGGATGGTAATTGTATTTGGGCTAAAATTGTCTTTGCTTCCTGTGACACAATTAGAACTTTATAGTTTGTTTCGGTTACTGGAAATCTTGGTTTTGTGATTTCAGGTTGAGTCCAGAAATCTTCCTGAAACGCCCAGTGGTTGAAGGAAATCGTTGGAGGTTGGACTGCATTCTTAAACGAAAAGCAGTATGTACTTTCCCAACAACTGCTGATATTTTTTTAAATGTTTATTGCCTCTGAAATGCCTTTTCTTTTTCAAATTCCTTTATTTATACTTACAACTTTTTACTTTATTGTTAGACAAAAAGTAGGATGACTAATGTTTTCCAGGTCATTTAGTTGTATTTTTTGCCTATTACTCTTGAGTGCATAAATATTTTAGCCTAATTCACAGCATGGATTATGTTAGCATCTCTAATTTTTGGTTTTTAATCAGTTAGGGGCAGTTAACTTTATAGGCAAAAAAATTCTAATAAAATCTCATTATTGAATAATAAATGATGAAACGAAACATTGCATTTCATTTTATTCATTATTTTGCCATTTAAGCAAAAGACAAAGTCATCTGGATAATGGTTTCAGTCAGATGGGTCCAAGCTGGTGTAGAAGAATATCACAGAGGAACAATATTTAAGAATTGGTTGTGTTTTGGTTCCAGGTTCGGGAAAGTTCATGGTAATAACGTGAAACTGTTTTCTGTACAGTTGACCCTTTATATTCTGGGTGAGCATTGAGTGTGCTCTTTTTGTTATAAAACATAAATAACTGAAGCAGTCTAGGCTCACCAATGACTGCATTCATATTTGTAATGATTTTTTTTAATGTAAATTAAATTAAATTAAGTTAAATTAAGTTAAATTAAATTAAGTTAAATCAGAATAGATCTGGATTTATTATTTTTCATGTCCAAACTAGAGAGTGCTAACCTTTTTACTATTATTTGAAGCTGTCTTAACCTTCTTGTTGTTCTGTCATTAAATGTTCCAGCAGAATTTGTAGATCCTAACTAATTGGGGTAGCATTTTTCTGTTTCTCACAGTCTTCACTCAGTTCTTCTTTCCTGTCCTCTACATTCCACTACGTGTTTCCCCACTCCCTTTCCCCCTTTCTTTCAGTGTCTTTTCCCCATGCTTTGACTTTAGGATTTCTGGGGATATCTGTAGATACAGTCAGACCTCACTGCTAATATTGAGGGTAAAAGGAATTGGTGATCTTTATTTCAGATACAGGTTCTTCCAAACAGCATCATTTTGATGGATAGTCTAATTTGTTGTATAAACAGAATTCCAGTCAGAAAATTTGATATTCTGATCCTAGAAGGCATTATTTACATATTCATTAAATAATTCAGCTTTCAGTTACTGAGTGTCCCCTTTGAGCTGGGTACTGCACAAATCACTAATTCCAGTGAATGAAATTCCTGCCCATGGAGAGCTTCTGAAAGACTTATGCCCTGGGCTCAGCCCTAGCCATACCAAATTTCTTTCTACCTATTGAATGGTCTATAACTTCCCCCATGTTTCTCTCTGTGAAATAGCCCCTTTCCCATTTTCCCTCAACATTCCATGTTAGTAAGTCTCTTCAGACATGACTAGCAATCTTCAATCACAATAGTAAATCTTCCCCTTATAGTATATACCCAGTGCTTCACTGTGTTAGGTTTCAGTCAACATGTATTTATTGAATGCCTACTATGTGCAGGGTGCTTGGCTAATCATATAGGGTTGCGCATAAATAAAAGCCACTAGTCTTGAGCTGAAGGAGCTTCAAAATTGATACAAGTATCAATTGGGTACAGAGTCAATGTCCAGGTTCAAAGGCAGCAGGGAGAACATTGGGCAGGTCTGGCTGGAGAGCCCCTCACAGCATGAGGGATACAGGGCATTTACGGTGGGCAGACATTTTTAAAAGGGAAGGGAGGTGTAGTAAATGTTGTGAAAAAACAGGAATGCCAAAGGCTCTGTCAGTTTCAGTAAGGTGACAAGTTAATTACACCTGAGAGTTAGCATAGGTTGGATGGGGGATCAATGAATGGCCAGTTGCAGGTAGGATGTGGGGGGCTTTTGATCCAAGCCAGTGGTTTGGACTTTATGGTAGACAGTGGGGATGAACTGGGGTGTGTGGTGGAGGAGGGATGATCTGGTCAAAATGGTATGTTGGGAAGGTGAATCTGGTAGTGAGAGAAAGTGGGGAGAACTCAGATTTGGAAAGCTAAATTTTAGACCACTTAAGTGTGAGTTGTCTTTAGGACATTTAAGTAAGCATGAGAAAGCTAATAAATGCTGAGCTGGGCTCAGGAGGAAGGTCCTGCAGGGCTGGCCCTCCACCTCTTGTTAGCTGGCACGTACTTGTCTACTGCGCTCAGCATACTTGTGTGGTTGGCTTTCATGTCACTGGCATGGCTTATCTTTGCCATGAAAGATAAGCCCGTGAACCCTGGTGAGGTCCCTGGTAAACACCGTGGCCAAGTAACATTATGGCCTGATAAAGGTGTTTCATTTCCATTTCATCTGCTTCCTGAAACTTGTAATCTATGAATTGCAGGTAATGATTTTAAAGATTTCCTAAGGAAATAGTAATACCATAAAAGATTAACTTCTCAGTGGTACATTTAGTGGAATTGCTCTTCCTTAATCTCACTACATCATATTATTACTTTAGTCATAAATTTTTTAACACTCAGGTTGTTCCAAATTGACATTTCATATGCATGTAAACACTGCTTCACATAAATTATTTAGTTTCTAAAAGCCACCTGCTAGCTTCAAAAAGTATGGAGTTGAAACATAATATTTATTTTTGCATTAATGAGTCCCAGAGGTCCACAAGGTTGATTAAGATGAATTGTTTTTTCCTCTGATCTGATCCTGCAGATATTTAAAGAGGAATTTAGGAAGTGTTTCTGCTTCATAGCCAACATATAGACAACATCTCTTTTTAATGGTTGTTTCTTGGGGAAACATACAATATTTTGTTTCTCTGCTAATAATCAAGTTGATATTTTTCTGTTTCTTTGGTCTGATGATATGCAATGTCATTTAAAATAGTAAAAGCCAATCTTCAGAGGCAGATTATACACAACTCAAAGAAATCAGCATCCCAGGGTTTTTTACACTTCTGCATGTACTACTCTAAGAGGTGAGATAAGTTGCATCACAGTTATGGTAACCATATTCCTAAACCATGCCTATGTATATTTCAGCCTTGGAAATGTGATATTTCTTATGAGGCTTACATAAAGGAATTTTCAAGTGCAGTAACCTGGAGGCTTACAGAAAAAGGTTTAGATCCTCAGCGGGAAATTTGTCTTCAGGTTGATTTCTTTCTGTCTTGGACAACAAGGCACATTCTAGAGTTGCAGTCAGTGACCAATAAAAGAGAAAGATGGCCAGGTTTGAGAAACAAGATGCATAATCACATCGCACAGAAAAACAAATGGAATCTTATCAAAGTGGTGGGCTAAAGTGGTTTGTGGGAAAGGGGAGAAGTTACCTTCAACCTTCAGAACAGTGCTTTGAACAAAACGGGTTAAAAAAAAAAAAGGCACATGAGCATTTGTGCTCTTATATCCCAAGGCCGCCTGCTTTTAAATGGTGAGAATACGATTTTTTTTTAATCCTTTACTTTTCATTTTCCTAATACACTGAACCTCCTGGGGAAGTCATCAGCAAGTGATAAAATTAGTGATTATCCTGGGAAGGGTGTAAGCTAAGCTATCTTCAGGCAGTGGACAAAGTTGGCTGTATTTAGAAAATATTTTGAGTGCACTACTTTGAATAACCAGAGAAAAAGCTACGAAACAGAGTCTCTTTAATTCAGTTACAAATTTTATTTGAATTGTCCTCTCATGGATTTTGCATATCTAAAGCTTCTAGGAATTTCTACTGTTTATAGCGTTGTGTCTGCTGTACTTGATAAGAAACTAGAAAAAAGAACTTTTATCTTTTGAAACTTACGTTTCATGAAGTTTATTCTCTGGAACCTTTGGGTCAGTGGAGCTCAGCAGAGATAAGGAACAAGGCGTGGCACAGTTCACTCCAGGCCATGTGTTTTCCTACTCCTATTAGTACTTTCCTTCCTCTTCTCATAGCAAAAAGTTATTTCCCCTAGCGTTGCTAAAAGGCATTAGTAAAATATGGGATGTTTCAAAAGTGTATTTATTAAACTAAAGAATTAACATCAGCCCTTTTTAAAAAAAAAATCTGGCTTTCATTTTGCAGAAATGTTTCCCACATTTTGTGTAAACCTGCACTATTACAACCTGGAAAATGTCTTTGTTCCCAAGGAATGATTTTCCTTTGACCTTTATAGTTAGAATTTATGGTAGTGTTGTAATACCTTGACCAAATGAAGGGGAATTTATTGCAGAAATCTGGTCACTAATTAACTATTTATTGTGGCTATAGGTTTAAGTGAGTAATTGCAAACCACATAAAAGATAAACTTTTTATATTTAATTACTTCCTTAGTAGTCATTTGTATTCATTCAAGCTAAAATAAAATAAAATAAAATAAAAAAACCTTAAAAATCTCTACCCTGTTTCCTTTAGAGTTAATTTATTTCAATGAGAAAAGACATAGTATAGAAGAAATTGTCAGATATTAGAAAAACGGAGGGTAATAATGTAACCCATTAGTGTTAACGTATCGATTATTTCAAAAATCCATTGGTTATGCAGGTAAATGGAAAACTGTAGGATTCAGGCCAAGTGCCTGATTTTCAGCTACTGCCCTTCATGAGTAATAATGTCTTAAACTTAAGAAGCAGGATTTCATCCATTTAAAGCAAATGAACATGATGAAAGATGTCAGGCATAATGTTCTATAATTTAGATTAAAATTTTAATTTAGATTAAATTTTAACCTTTGTATTATATCTTAACAATGGGAGGCTACTTCTGGTAACCATTATTCAGTACTGAATTCTAAAATATTTAAAGAGCAAAATAGATCTGAACAGTAGAGAAGAAAAATAAAATAATCTCCTAGTTTTCCTTTAGAGCCCTTAATCAGTGGTTCATTGCAGAATATTCACTGGCAAGACCTTTAGAAATTAATCTGTTCACTTCTTGCCTGCATCTTCGCTTTCTTATTTCTTTACTCAAATATGTACTTATGTACTTTGTTGTAATAATAGTTGCATAATTATAGCAAGTAATAAGCAAGTTTGAAAGGCCAACTGTGAACCAGACAAATAGAATGACATATATATTTTTAATATTGCTTTTTTCAGAGCAAGAATAAGTCTTCTTCTATCACACAAATCTCCTTAATGCATGCCAGAATATAAATCTAATGTGTACCCCCCAAAATGTATACCTTTTTCAGGTATCACTAATACCAAGAGAAATAGAATGTTAGTATTTTGAAGTGATGTGTTTTGAAGTACATTTTAGGGGTCAAAATGTACTTCTTAGTTTTGGCAGAGCAATATTGGTGAACTGTATACATGTTTGGTTTGCTCCAAGATTTTATATTTTGTGATCTAGAACCTAAAAATACTAACTCCTATATTATTTCACATTGTATAGCATTGCAAAAATACTCAATTCTTATGAATTAGATGTTATTTTAGTCCGTTTGTGTTGCTATAACAGAACTACCTGAGACTGGGTAATTTATAAAGAACAGGGGTTTATTTGGCTTACAATTCTGAGACAGCTGCATCTGGCACGGGCCTAGGCTGCTTCTACTCATGGCGGAAAGTGGCAGGCAACCAGCAGGTGCAAGGACATCACATGGCAAGAGGAAGCAAGAGGGAGAGAGAGAGGAGGTGCCAGGGTCTTTTAAACAACCAGCTTTCATGGGAACTAATAGAGCAAGAACTCACTCATTACTCCCCCACCTCGGGAGAGCATTAATCCATTCATGAGAGATCCACCCCCATGACTCAATTGGTTTCCCACACTGCCACATTGGGGATCAGATTTCCACATGAGTTTTGCTGGGAACAACACATCCAAACTCCATCAGATATGTTCAACCCAGTAAAACTTCTTAAATTTTTTATTCAAATTTCCATTATGAACAATGACTAATTACCATAGATTATTAATTTAAACTGTAACTAAATCATTCCTTGTTATTGTAGTTTATTAGATATACCTGCATTTCTAAAAGTTCTTGCCTTTAATCTCTAGGATATTAAATGCCTAGTTGTAGTATGTATGCAATATGTTTCAGAATGCTTCCAGAGCTGCTGGGTAAAGAGAATGCAAATTAAAATGGTGCAAACTGAACAGAAATACTGAGGATACAAGCCTAAAAAGTAAAAAAGAAGTGATCCACGAAGTGAGAGTAAAGAACAGAGTTTCCTGGAAGAAATATATTCTTAACTGTCTGTTGGAGGGGGATCCATATGTGTGGGCAGAGAGAAGGGGAGGAGGGTTCAGGTGTGGGGCAATTTAGCTGAGGCTAAGAGCCTGTCACCGACCAGAACTAGAATAGACCATACTCGTGCTTTTCTATACTACCAGCTACTGGACATGGTCCTTTTGATGATTAACGTTAATACTGTTCGTTGTATAGCATGTTAGGGTTTACCAGGCACTTTTGATTTAATTTGACCCAATAAGGAGGTCACAATGGCCTTGTCTATTTTCTTTTAGATCCAAGGTTTAAGGATAGATCAATGTTAATTTGTGTGTCCATTTTATATTAAGCCTCTGTTAAAACTCAGGGATTTTTGTATATTAGAGAAACTTATTTCTGAGGAAGTCCTTTAATTAGTGAAATAGATGTGAATGATCTAACTACAGGTTAAGAGGGTGAACCAACACAGTCATCTTTGAAGATTAAGAAGTGCTTTTTCCACTTAAACAATTTTTTTTTCAATAAATAAAAACTCTATGAAAAATATAAGGGATATTTAGCATAATTTAAGAGATATTTAGCATAATTTATTGCATCAAAGTTTCTTAATATTATTTTTTCAACTAATTGAGGTGTAATGTAAGTAAACAAACAAAAAACCCTAATCCTTTAACATGAATCAGGTCAAAACTTTCCTCAATGACAAGTGTTTGTGAACATTAAAGGTTGTAAGACTATCCAATATGTTTAGCAGCTGAGGTTACAATCTTAACGTTCTGGATCTGTAATTAGTCAACTATTGATGCTCTCTCAGTATGACAAATCATAAGAATGGAAGGGAGATGAATTTTTATTTTTGATATCTGTACCTCAATATACACTTATGTGTCACCTCATCATATTGCCTTTTTCAATAAATATTTTATTATACTTGTTTATAAAAGAAAGTACAATGTGCAGAAAGGAAGAAGAAAAAGAAAATCATAACCTCCCTCTAGAGATACTCATTCCTCCACGTGTTTTCTCTTGTGACAGCAACAGGGTGTGAGGATCTTCATAATGCTCTACAAAGAGGTGGAACTTGCTCTTGGAATCAATAGTGAATACAGCAAACGGACTTTAATGCGTCTGCATCCCAACATAAAGGTATTCAGTTTCATCCTTGTGACCAATGTTTCTTCTTTATTATTCTGTACACATTTTTCAGATATGTTTTGCTCTGGGCAGTGATAATCTGTAGAATTCTGTAGTGTATATTTGAATAAATAGCATTGAGTCCTCAGAAATAAAACAAAATATGATACTTTGTTATGCTCATAACATTGATGGGGGTCAGCAGACCTCACATTTCTGCTTCCTGACCCTGATAATTGAAAGTGACAGTTTAGCCAAAAACACACTTCCTGCAGTTGTTTTAATATTTGAGTGCTCTATCAAGTTCTCACACTTCTCATTAAGATTATCCTGGAACCACTTAAATGTAATCTCCCTGTGACATCCCCTGAGCACTGATAGCAGCAAAGAGATCTTGGCTCAGATTTAAAGTCTTTTTTTTTTTTTAATCAATAACACCTAGTATAAAATACTAACAAAGTCAATAAACATTATAAGCCAATGGAAAAAGCACTCTGATATTTTACCAAACACCTAAAACCTATCAATAAATATCATCCAGTCACTGAGATACATCAAGATTTAATGAATTAATAAATCTCCAGGAGGCCTAAAGTATATAAAGATTGTGTTAAGAAGAATTTTATTTGGTTAAAAAGAATGAACGTGTTTTTTCCCTGGAGAATGAGTTATTGAGTTGCATCATTTCCAAATGTTGTTTATTTATTCACCAAATTGCTATCGTGCACCTACCGAGGATATACTTTTATGGCATCAGCAACTGAAAGGGGTGAGAACAGAGCTGTTAAAGGGGTAGAGTTTTTACATGTTATTGAAGTTAAACTGGTATAAATTTGAATTACAGTGTTACAACTTTAGGATGTTCAGTGTAATCCCCATGGTAAACACAAAGAAAATAGCTATATATACACAAAATAATATACACAAAAGGAAACGAGAAAGGAATTTAAATATTTCACTATCAAAAAAATCAACTAAACAGAAAAGAAGAGGGTCATGCAGGAAATGAGGCACAAAATAAACTATAAGGCATATGGAAAACAAATAGCAGAATGACAGATGTCCTTTCTTATCAATAATTATTTCAAATGTAAATGGATTAAACTCTTCAATCAAAAGACAGAGATGGGCAAGATGTATTAAAAAAAACACATGATTCGGGGCCGGCCCGGTGGCGCACTGCTACAGTGCGCCACTTGGGAGCGCGCTGGCGCTCCCGCCGAGGGTTCGGATCCCACATGCAGACCGGCTGCTCACTGGCTGAGCAAGGTGCGGGGGCAACACCGAGGGTTGCAATCCCGTTGCCGGTCCCGGTCCGGTACGGGCGCGACACTGAGGGTTGCGATCCGTGGCCGGTCACGAAAAAAGACAAAAAAAGGAAAAAAAAAAAAAAACCACACATGATTCAACTATGTGGTATTTATAAGACACTCACTTTATATGAAAAAAACACAAAATTGGTTGAAAAGAAAGGATGGAAAGGATATTCCATGCAAATAGTATTGAAAAGAAAGTAGCTAGTAAACTAATATTACACAAAATAGACTTTAAATCAAAAGAAGATGACAAGAAACAAAGAACATTTATATTAATAAAAGGTTTAATACAGCAAAAAGATATAATAGTTAGAAACACTTACACACCTAATAAACCATTAAAATATATGAAGCGAAAACTGACAGAATTGAAAGGAAAAAAAGACAGTTCTACAATAATAGTTGGAGATATCAGTACCCCACTCAATAACATATAGAACAATGAGACAGAAGATGAGTAAGGAAATAGAGGACTTGAACAACATAATTTTAAACCAACTAAATCCAATGGACATATACAGAACACTGTACCAACAACAGAATACACATTCTTCTCAAGTGTGCATGGTACATTTTGCAGAAGAGATCACCTGGTAGGCCATAAACTAAGTCTTAATAAATTTTAAAAGGCAGATACCACACAGGCATCTCTGTGACCACAACGGGATGAAGTTAGAAATCAAGAACAAAAGGAAAACTGGAAAATTAACAAGTTGTGGAAATTAAGCAACACTCTGTTAAACAAGCAGTGGATCAAAGAAGAAATCACAAGGGAAATAGGAAGTATTTAGAGACAAATGAAAATGAAACAACATGCCAAAGCTTATGGGGCACAGTGAAGGCAATGCAAAGGGGGAAATAGACAGCTATAAATGCTTCAATAAAAGAGAAGAAAGATCTCAAAACAACAACCTAACTTTACAACTTAAGGAACTAGAGAAAGAACAAACTAAACCCAAATTTTGCAGAAGGAAGGAAATAAAGATTAGAACAAAGTTAAAGAAATAGAGAATAGAAAATTAATACAGAAAATCAGCAAAACTAAAAGTTGGTTCTTTGTAAAAATCCACAAAATTGACAAACATTTAACTAGAAAAAGAATCCACAAAGTTGACAAACATTTAGCTAAGAAAAAAAGAGAGAAGACTCAAATTACTAGAATCAGAAATGAAAGTGGGGACATTACTACCAATTCTACAGAAAAAGAAAAGGATTATAAGAGATTACTGTGAACAATTACACAGCAACAAATTGGATAACCTAGATGAAATGGGCAAATTTCTAGAAACAGCCTACCAAGACCAAATCATAAAGAAATATAAAATCTTAATAGACCTATAACTAGTAAGGAGATTGATCAGTAATCAAAAATCTCCTGAAAAGTAAAGCCCTGGACCCTGATGGCTTTACCAGTGAAGTCTGCCAAATATTTAAGAACTAACACCAATCCTTCTCAGACCCTTCCAAAAATTGAAAACAGAAAGACTCCCAAACTCATTACCCTAATACCACTAAACCGTACACTTAAAAATAATTGAGATAGTAAATTTTATGTTATGTGTATTTTACCACAATAAGAAAAAGTGTAATTAAAAAGACTAGCTGCCAAAGTTTTTGGAAACTTTCTACTTAAAGGCATTTGAAAATAGGACAGGTCAGACTGAAATCATTTAGGGAATTTTATTTGACTAGCAGGATGTTACTAACATCTTAATGTGTCTTTTAAATAAAGAGCTGCCAAAATATCTATATGCCTTTATCCTGTGCTTAGTATTCCAGCTCAGTGGCTGCCAAAATATCAATATAATTTATTAAAAATTTTTCCGGGGATAATACTGGTTAAGTATATTTAGAGTTTTTTTTGAAAATAGCAAATGTAATCATTAAAGGGGGAAAGGGAATTGAGGTGACCTGTATCTAACGTGTAGCCAAACTTTAAGCTGGTTGGCAGTTGCCCCCAAATACGATATCTGGGTGTGTGGGAGGCTTACAAAGTAAATAGGGGTCTTCCTCTGATAAATACTGAGAGTAAAATTAGAAGTTTGGGGGGCTTTCTTTGGTGTATACATAGCACACTTTTGGGCTTTGAATGCTAGAGAATACTTTTCAGGGAGAAAGCAGACCTATTTTATTATGACATGAAGGACATTTTAAAAAGCATATTATATGGGGTTTTTTTCCCTCTCAAGGTGATGAGGCACCCCGATCACGTGTCGTCCAGCGTCTATCTGTGGGCTCATCATGAGAAACTCGTCATCATTGACCAGTCGGTGGCCTTTGTGGGTGGGATCGACCTGGCCTATGGAAGGTGGGATGACAATGAGCACAGACTGACGGACGTGGGCAGTGTGAAGCGGGTCACTTCCGGACTGTCACTGGGTTCCCTCCCAGTAAGTATATCTCACCTTTATGGAACTGCATAAAATGCACATAATTTGTAGAAGTACATATTAATTGTGTGACTGATTGATTGACTGATTGGATGAGAGGTGGCATCTCCTTGGAGGGTTGAAGAACATCCAGCAAACAGCACACAGATAGCAGCCTTACCACCTGGCTGGCATGTAACTTTGCATCTTAGTCTCAGTTCATCTCTTGTAAGAGAAATCAGATACAATAGAGGGTTTACTGTCTCATAATCAGCTCCTTTGCTTTTCATTTAAATTAAAGATTTATTTTCTATTTGGAAAAAAATTCATAAAAATGTGTTGTGATCAAGGTTTAGGGTAAATAACAATAAGAAGCCTTATTAAAAGTAGTTGCCAAAGTTTTTGTCATCATCCTACTTAAAGACATGCAACACAGGATAGGTCAGTCTGGGGTCACTTAGAGGGAATTCTATTTGAGAGGAAAGTGAATAATGTCTCAAAGTACCTTTCAAATCAAGAGCTGCCAGAATATGTTTGTGTGTATCCATCCGCTTGCTATTTCAACTCAATGACTGCCAAAATATCAATGCACTTCTTAAAAATGTTGATGGGCTCCATCTTATTTTCTGCTGGTTATGTTGGTGACTTTTCTGGAAAATAGCTATTTAGTGAATAGGA